GATGGATTGATGGATGGATGGATGAATGGATGGATGAATGGATAGATGGATTGATGGATAATTAGTTCAATGGATGGATGAATGGATTTGACTGGGAATGGATTGAATAGGTGACTGAATAAGTGGGATAGATGGGTTAAAGAAAGAATTAAAATCAAGAAGTAAATTAAGGACTAAATGAATCAAATGACAAATCAAAAAAGATGAATGAATGAAAGTCTAAAAATACCATATCATTTTCTCTATTGCTTGACTTGTGTACAGTAGCCAGCTTGGATAGCAGTATTAAGGCGCTAACTTGAGATATCTTGTTAGGAACTAGTGTGAGCTGTGTCGGTGTTTCTAATGAAACAGTAATGATGAAAAGGTAAATTTTACACCGTGAAAAGATGAAAAAACTTACTGACGTTGCGGACGCTAGTCCTTTGTCGGAGTAAAAGAATGCTAACTTGTTAAGATTCTTCTGTTGATTGTGATTTCAGAACCTCATTACGAGACGTTGCTTCCTTGTGAGTTCTGTCAAGAGCTGTTCCCATCTGATTCCCTCATTGGTCACCAGGTAATTCTCTAGTTCACCTTGCCTCCATTCTCTATATCATTTCTCCACTTTGAGATGATCGAAGTCAGCGCATGGCTAAGTCACAGATCAAAATGGGGTTAAGTGTGTTAAGTTTTTTTCGGAGGGAGGGAAACCAGAGACCTAACAAACTCTTTTCACATGCAAAACCAAGACCCCAGAGGTGAGATTCAGTTGTACTACTGCTACAACATTCTTCATCCCCTTAGACTTACAGCAACAGAAAATGCTGTTACCACGATCCCTTTTCCCTCAAAAAGGTGTCCTGTTTTACTTCAATGCTATGGTAGCCGGCAAGATTTAATGCCTTGTCTTCTATTGTAGAGCATCTGTGATCCTGATAGAAGCCGTCCTGCTTCTGCCATCCACACCTTCCAAGGTTCATTCTTCGAATCAGACCAACAAGGTCTCAACAATTCTCCACCTCAGACTAGAATCAGACCTCCTCGCCCCAGCAGACCAGTTGTTACCAGCGGAAGCCCTGACGAGCAAGATGTGAATTTATTCCACCCTGCTTCGGATTTGCGTCCTTCAAGAAGAGTAACATCTGGCAATGAAGGGAATACTCGTCTGTTTAATCCAGCTGGAGATGACGACAACAGCAGTAGCAACAACAGAAACATTATCAGTAGCAGCAGCAATGACAACAGCAGACGCTTAGCTTCAGGAAACTCTAGATCTCAGAGGAACAACGAGGTTCATTCTCGCCGCCGTGGACCACCTTCGAATAGCGTGCCACTGACTGTCCGCAATGGACAAGCATCACGAGGCCCCATGAAAACCCAAGTCAACAGGAAGACAACAAGCCAACATCTGTCTCGACCTTCAAGAGTTGCTAGTGATGATAAAAAAGAGGAATGCGTAGATGTTTTACCAAAGCGGTCGTCACCTAAAGTTACAAGCTCCTCTAGATATGGTACCAAGTACAGCGGACTGCAAGAAAGTGGGAAGAACTCTCTCAACAATGATAATGAGTTGTCTGTGTCAAGTGTTAATGGAAGGTACAGGAATGGGACAAGAAATGAACCAACAGGAGATGAACTTCCTTGGGTAAGAATAGAAAGTACCTTAACTAAAGAATCATAAAATGACCCTTTAAAATTATAACCTGAACCCTTAAGATCATTGTTAAAGTATTTTTTTAAATCAGAACTTACTGCATCGGGAAATTTTGAAATTTTAGGAGATGCGCCCATTGCAAGAAACTGTAGCGACATACTCAGCTACAGCCAGTCAACGTCCGCCTAGGAAGGGGACATCTTCAGGAGGTCGCCCATTCCAACACTCCACTGAAACACGAAAACAAATGTCTAGGCTTGCACCTTCTTTCGATAAACCACTAAGAAGTATGGATAGTCAAAAAGAAGGGTCAAAAACCCAGACTCGCACAGGTAAGAAGGCTACTCCTTCAGGAAGAAATGAGCAGAGGACTGGATCTGAAAGAGGCGCGCAAGGCACATCGGGTAGACTTCATTCGTCTACAAAATCCAAGACCAAGAAAAAGATTGTGTAGCTCGCGTGCGGCAAATGAAGATTTAAAATCATATCTGGTCTTGAAAAGAAAGATAAATCACAATCCGTAGAGTTTAATGGATAAGAATGTGTAATTTAAGTAAATGACACTCCTTATTGGAGCTGCAAAAATTAGTGAAAGTATCTTAGGAATTTTATATTCTGTGTAAAAAAATCGTAAAAAAATTTGGAATTGTGGGAGATATATTCAGAGATAGGTGGCACCTCTATTTAACGGACACCTTTGGGAATAGAGGTTTGTTTTACAGTAAATATGGAAAGATACGGGACAGTATAACTGGTTATCTAGTCTTCTTTAATGCGCGATTACACGGAGAAATTTTCTCTGCAACTTGTTTCGCAACGTTGTACCACAAGATGCAAGAGTGTTTACACGGTGCAAAGGAGAAGCAATTGCTGCCAAAAGTAGAAACGACATCTTCCTTTTGCAACACTTGCTGCAATTTTTTTTTTCAAATCGCGCTGTAGGTTACGCGTTGCAATGCTTTATGCAACATCTAACGTAACGTCCGGTGTTGTGCGAGAATTTGCAGAGAAAATGTCCGTGTTATCGCGCCTTTAGCACCCGTTTTAGGGTCGTCACGCCACGCGATTCCTCAACGTATGTTCTGCTTACTCAGCCATCCGTTTGACGAGGGATGTTTGTTTATAGGCGTACCACTCTATCTGTAAATTTAGTGATTAAATAATTCATTTTTGTATAGTTTTCATGGCATATAACTTAGTTTTAAAAAATGTGTAAACTAATGTCATATTAGACAATAAAATCCGTAGTTCTGAAAGTGGTTCCCTGTATTTTATTTCTGACTATATTATTCACTCAGTGTTGTTGATATACCGATATATACACTCTTGGCGCGCATGCATTTGTACCTCATAACGCTAGAAAATTTCAGCTCTTTCCCTAGCTTTCTTGAAGCATTTTTGGCTCCCATCGAAAGCACAAGAAAGTGTAGAAATGGCATTAAACATTTTCCGCTTAAAATCAGGCACGACCTTAAATTGATGAGTATGTGCGCGAAAGGTCCCTCTTATTTCCATTAATTTATTAAATCAGGACCATACTTCCAGACATYGAGTGCTGGACCGTCGTATGGCAGCGCGAAGCATTTACGGCTACTCCGGAGATTTCGGAGAATTATAAACTGATCAGAAAGCTCGACCGAAGCCTAAGGGAGAGGTTAGTCGGCCCCTAGACCATAGATGATTAACCCCTTGCTATGACCAGCATACTCGAAATTTTAATAGGACGTTTGCATGATGGTGTCATTTGACTCCCACTACCAAGATGCTTCGCGAATTTTCTTTCTTATTTAAATTCGTATTCCTTCATGAGAAGAGTAAGACAATTGGTGCTAATTAACTGAACAAAAGAAAGCGTGCAAGGGAGTGTGGTAGTAGAGGTCAATGACGCCATCATGCAAACGTGCTATTGTGATGCTGATGGCTTTGAACGAATACACACTTCTTTCCATGTGGGATGCGTTTTGCAAAACGTACCTGGCGTCATATACTGATTTACACGCAGACTCAGTGAAAAAAATTTAGATCCGTAAAGACTGCCAATATTTTTAGAGGGAAAGAAACAGAAAGTGAGAGAAAAAGAGGGAGAGGGTTTAATGTTTAAAAACAGCTGGAAATCTGTTCAGTTAATTTCGATACCAGTTCCACAAGCTAGCATTGTGTCGTCATGACTCAAGTTCCTCAACACCACCTGCAGCAGGACCAGCTACTATTATTTCAAGCACCAAAAAAACCTTTGAAGATTTTAAAAAGATCAAAGATTTTACAAGCTAAACAAACGAAGGTAAAATTAATGGACGATAAACTGAAAATTTATGGGATTCGTTGTTCATTGGACTATTATTAAAGTCGATTTTTGCACTGGAAAAGTCGTCGAAGCAAGAGTAGAATAATGGAATAAATTCGTTTAGAATTGGGAACTCAAACAGCAATAGAATGGGAATGATGTTCTAGATTTGTTCGTAAACAGCTTGTATGTTATCTGTGTTGTTTCTGATTCAAATACTCGCCTTGTTTTGACTACGAGAAGACGTAAACAAGACAAAAGGAACTAGGCAAGGAAAACAAAAAACAAATATGGCTTCTTCAGTCGACGAGAATTCACTTATTCGACCAAGCCATTCAACTTTACAGTTTCAGCTGATTAAGACAATGATATTGTCTAGCTGTCTGAGTAGTTTTATTACTATCGTTATTATATCATTTCTACTTCGTAATACTGCATTCATAAACATATACTTAAACAGTTCGGATTCCAAACAGACTGAAGACTCAGTGGATATTTCTCGACGTTCTTACTCCAATGAAGCCACGTTAATTTTGCTAAAACATGGAGTTAAGAAAGAAGCTGTTTGCCTTGATGGTTCTCCCCCTGGATATTACTTCAGAGAAGGTTATTTCGGGGGGCAAGACAACTGGATAATTCACTTCTTTGGGGGAGCTTGGTGCTTCGACGAGGAGGCTTGCCTTCAAAGAAGCAAGACCGTCTTAGGTTCTTCGAAGTTTTTTCCACCACATCCTCCGAAACTCCAGGGGATTCTATCCAGTGACCCGGAGACAAATCCGGACTTCTACAACTGGAATTTAGTTATGCTGTGTTATTGCGATGGAGCCTCTTTCTCTGGGTACAGATTAGACCCGGTTGAAGTTAATGGCGAGTATATTTATATGAGAGGACGAAGAATTCTTGAAGTTATTCTTGAACAACTGCTACAGAGCAAGTTTCGAAATTCGCGCCGTGTTTTGTTAACAGGCACATCGGCGGGAGGAATGGCCGTCGTTATACATTCCGACTTTATCCGAAGTAAACTTCCCATTACGACGGACGTCCGAGCGGTTTCCGATGCGGGTTACTTTGTCGATGTACCATCGATTAACGGAGGAAACATCATTAATAGGCATTTTAAGAAAATGTTTGAAATTCATAATTCTGCCATTGGTGTAAATGAGGATTGTGTTCGGGCTGCGGTGCCGAAATATCGATGGAAATGCCTGTTTCCGCAGCATACATTCAGGTTTCTTCGCACGCCTTTATTTGTGTTGCAGTCGGCTTACGACGCATGGCAAATGATTCACATCCGGGGAATTAACTGCGAAGTCCCCGATTATGATATGTTCAGGAAAAAACGTACCATTAACRAGCGAGGGATTTCATCTGGTCACGCGGAACACATTTGGGCGTACAAACATATACACGGTATCTACTGTAAACCTCCAGAGTGTACGCAAAGAGAGCTACAAGGTTTAATGCAGTTTCGCAACTTAACCCTACATGCATTGCGGCCCGTTCTGCGATCCCGTTTTTCGGGTTTAGTTTTGACGTCATGTATGGAGCATTCTCAGAGTCTATACGACGATACGTGGAACAAGATTTACGTTGGTGGAGTTAGTATTCAAGAGGCTGTGGGGAACTGGGCGCTTTCTCGGACGCGATCTCATTTTCATGTGGACTGTCCCTTCCCGTGCAATCCAACTTGTTCTCATGTATGGTAAGGGAAATATGCTTTTTGCGTAACAACGCGCTCGAGGAAGGAAGTCCTTTGGCAGAATCATGCTTTATCATTCAGCACTGAGATGTGGACCTCAGAAGCTACCACGTTACAGACCAATTAAAATGGGGAATCTAGAGGGAGTTAAGATTACACATAATCTTTCTGGATTTATCCCAGTAAGACGCCAATAGCGCAGCCATAGTCGCAAGGTCGTGGAGAATGCGCGCGCGCGTTTTGGCGCGAAAGTGAGTTCCCGCCTTACATGCATGTATGCATTTATCCTTCTGGCATAGCAAAGAAGCAAAATCTTACTTTAAAAGTATTCGTAATTTTTATTTCTCCCTTCAACCACGGCGCAAATGCATGAGAATAAGCAAGAGACCCCAGAAGGACTAAGGTAACGGTGCTCCACGACGCAACACAAGCAACTCAGTTGTGAACTTCACTTAAATAATAGAGCGGTGCTGATTCCCGCACTTGTCCCTGCCTTAATCATTTATTTATTTATTTATTTATTTATTCTATCTAAGATGAGTATATAAGCTGACCTGTAAAGATTACTGACCTACTAAGTATAATATTTAGCCTTGCAGTAAAAATGTTTAAAATCTGAATAATTCGTCTCGTTGTCCTCTCTCCTTGATGCAGCCCATCTCGTACGGAATTACTGGAAAATTGGATAATTGCGTTGCGATTGGATAAATTATTAGAAGACAATGGGAAGCCCTTTCAGTGTTACAATATATGCGTGCTTTAGTCAGTACCGCGTTTCCCATTCATACGAAAACCGCTTGAAGAGTTTTAAACGAGTAAACTTAATTCTCACTTAATACTTTGTTCTCTACTGAATCTGATTCCTGTTCCGTCGAATCATCTTTTTCGAGCGAAGGTTCACCTTCGTCGTCGTCGATTACTAGTGCATTATCCCCGTCGTCAGCAGAAATTTGATCAAAATCGTAAAATGGGCCACTCCTTTGGATGTTGCCCAAATCATCTTCAATTAGTATAGTAGATTCTTGTTTAATGATATCATCTCGGTCAAGAGAGAAGCGAGTTGGTGGACAGGCATCCAGGAATTCCCAGTGTTTGAAGACCTCACCGTGTGTTTTGTTCTGTAGCTCGATGAGTCGGAGTCCATTTGGTGCTTCTATTATCAGCTCCTCGTCACCTTGTGGGTCATTTGGACTGGACGAGGACTGAGGGCTAGAAAATAAAGCAAAGAATAGATATACAGTAAGAGAAAAAAATAAGGAAAAGAAAGAAAGAAAAGCAGGAGAAGATTAAGGGAAAGGAAAGTTTTTTTTTTTGTCAAAAGAACGATGTAAATTTAAAAATTTTTTCGACAGCCTGAAACAGCCTCTCGACTGATTAAAATCAGGACACGTTCACAGATGGAATTGGAATTTAGCCTGTTAGGATTTGCGGAGAGAGGAAAAGCGGAGAACTAGGAGAAAAACCCGGAATTAGGGAAGTGTCCTTGCAAACTTGGAATCAAACCTGAGACCCCAGAGGTGAGAGGGCATTGCATTATCGCTACATTACCCTTGATTCTCAAACAAAGAAAATAATAAATAAACCAGATCCACCGTAACAWACCTTTCCAGGAAGAAACCAAGCGAGTTCACATAATTTCCAGCACATCCAAACACGCCCACCATCGATTGTTCTGGACTTGGTTCAAAATGACACAACGACCCTCCCCTCCCTCCCATCCATAAGGACGACTTGTAGTTGGTGTGGAATCTCAGGGCGTCGATCCAGGCCCCGGAACGTAAATCTACAGCAATCAAGTGCTCATCTGGGTGTTCGAGCCTGAAGATGTATCGCCGGCCGACACCCTCTCTGCCACAAGGCTCAGATAAGACTTCTGTAACAGTCTCAACTGCAAATAACAAAAATACCCGCAAAAGAATTTCGTCACATTTTCAGCTTTTGAAAGGCTATGGATGATCTTTATGTATACCTAACACGTTTCCAAACTCTGAATTTTGATTTATGCTTCTAAATTTCGAGTTTTAAGATTTTTTATATTTTGGAAAATCCGGAACCGTGTCGAATGGACTGGACTGCGGATCGTGGATCGAAAAAAAACTTTTTACGTCGAATTTGCAATTTTTATCCTATAATTTTTATTTTCACATAAACAACTAGTATTTTTATGCAGAAATTTTGCAAAAAATCAAGACTTCAAATTTTGTAATATTATTGGGAAAAAAGTATAAATTGGATCTTGTATTGCATAAAAAATGGTTTGTGGTCAGGCTGAGGGCCAACAGTCAAACACTTTAGTAATTTTGAAACTTTCGTGTGTTAACGAAATCTACTGAGTATTATGGAGACTTCCAGAGGATCTACAGTTTCCTTACCATCATCTTGCTCAACCACAGCCAAGCCAATAGTCTGAATGCAATTTACATAAACATCAGCGTAAATGATGTAGCCACCAAGTCTTGCATTATTCTTTGATAGCCATGTTTTATCATTGAAGTAAACTTTGTTGGAATCACAATTGCCTGACATTGTTCCCATTGGGCCATAAAATTGTCGACCCCAGTGGATTAGAGGTAATTTTGATAGCTCTTCACCGGATTCCTTGTTACTGGAAAACCACCTGAAAAAATATTGTTAAAGAACAAAAATGAATGACAAAAGTTGGATTTTACAAGTGCCAGTAAAGGAGGTTTGGATTTTTGGGGGG